AGTATATTTCTTTTTCCCCCCAGACAGGTCTCACTCTGTCTCCCAGGCTGGATTACAGTGGTGTAATCTTCGTTCACTGCAGACTTAACATCCCAGGCTCAAGCGATCCTCCTGTCTCAGCCTCCCAAGTAGCTAGGACCACAGGCGAGTGCCACCACACACAGCTAGTTTTTTATAGAGACGGGGTTTTGCCATGTTGCCCAGGGCAATCTTAAATTGAGCTCAAGAGATCTGCCTGCCTCAGCCTCCCAAAGTGCTGGGATTACAGGTAAGGGCCACTCTGCACAGCAGAAGCATACTTTTATCAGGTGTACACATTATACAATTAGTGGTGTGTGATTTATTTTAGATGGCAAGAATGCATATCCTTATAGCAACTACTAAAAACAAAGGTAATGCTGAAAAGCCAACAGAAGAGATGAAATACTAAAAAACAATTCAAAGAAGGCAGAAAAAGAGAAACAGATGGGACAGTGAGAAAACATGATCAAATACTGCAACCCAACCATAGCAATAATTATATTTATATACAAGTGGATTAAGCACCACCAATTTGAAAGCAAAGATCATTAGATTGGATAAAAAGCTTCAACACGGTTTACAAGAGCTTTATGCAAATATAAAGATACCAATAGGTTATAAGTAAAAATGGAAAAAGACAAACCATAAAAACACTGAGAAAAGACTTCAAGACAAGTATTAGATATAGGTGTTTTAGAACAAAATGTTTAGTTAATGGAGAACATATCAATTGTAAATATATATGCACCTTATTATTGAGTTTTAAGATATATAAAACAGAAGACAATGGAGAACTAAGGTGAGACAAACTCAAAATCATAGTTGGAAATTTAGTAGACAAAGTCAGAAAGGATAGGGATATTCAATGACATTACCAACTGCTGACCTGACATTTATAGACCAACTACACCCCTAAACTGCAGAATACTCATTTTTAGATGCAACCAGGAGATTCACCAAAATGGGCAAACCATGGAATTTTAGAAATAGTAACATATGGAAATAATTGGCATGTATCTTCCAGTAGATGGAAAAATTCTATTTGGAAATTAGTCCATATATCAGTGAACAAATCACAGAGAAATTAGGACATATTTTGAGCAAAAGGATCACACAGATAACCAAATTTGTCACATGCAGCTAAAGAGGTGTGCTGTGTGAAATTTTAAATACTAAGTTTTGAAAACAGGTTTAAAATCAATGATCTACAAAGGGCTAGGGAAAAAGAGCAAATTAAATCCTAAGCAAGCAGAAGGAAGGGAAGTGAAAATCAATGAAATAGAAAAAGGAGAGGCCAGCAGCGGTGGCTTATGCCTGTAATCACAGCATTTTGGAAGGCCAAGGTAGGTGGATCACCTGAGGTCAGGGGTTCAAGACCAGCCTGGCCAACATGGTGAAACCCTGCCTCTACTAAAAATACAAAAATTAGCCAGGTGTGGTGGCAGGCACCTGTAATCCCAGCTACTCAGGAGGCTGAGGCAGGAGAATCACTTGAATCCGGGAGGCAGAGGTTGCAGTGAGCCGAGATCGTGCCACCACACTCTAACCTGGGCAACAGAGTAAGATAGCATCAAAACAAAAAAACAAAACAGAAAAAGGGCGTACATTAGAGAAAAATCAATGAAAATTAAATGTTCTTCAAAAAAATCTAATAGAATCTATAAACCTCTAGCTAGATAAGAAAGAACACAAAGTTCAGATAACAAGAAAGGAAAGGGAGACACCACGACATATTACAGACATTTTAACATAAATACTATAAACTTTCATATCAATACATTTCATAACTTACTGGAACATACGAAGTCCTTAAAAGACACAAACTACTGAAACTACCAGAGGTAGAAAATCTAAATAGTTCCTTGAGATAAAAAATAAGACATTTAACATTGTATTGCTGGTTTTGGCCACTGTAATAGGTAAGAAAAAGACAAACCATTGGAAGAAGTAAAAGCGCCTGTATTCAACGATAACATGATTGTATACTGAAAATCCTAAGGAATCTGCAAAAAAAAAAAAAAAAAGCCAGAATTGGTGAGTTTAGCAAGTTCACAGGATCCAATACACCAAAAGTAACTGTATTTTCATAACAAGAAATAAATCATTGCAAGATGAACTTTTTGAGGGTATCATTTACAATACCAAAAAAATGCTTAAGGACAGATTTAAAACAGGCATGCAAGCCTCTATAGTGAAACTACAAAACTGTGGAAAGAAAGTAGATCTAAGTAAATGAATAGACATATTACACTCCTGGATTGGAAGATTGAGTATTTTTAAGATGTCAGTTCTTCACAAACTGATACTTAAATTCAGCACAATAATTCTAGCCTTCTGTAATTCTAGCCGATTTTTTGGGACAGAAATTGACATGCTGGGAGGACTGATGTATCTGACTTCTAGACTTCCTACATAGTCCTGACTTACCATTTTTCGACTATATGATAGTATAAGAGTGATACACATTCAGTAGAAACCCTACTTTGAATTTGTTTCTTTTCTCTGGCTAGTAATGTGCCCATACAATACTCTTTTGCAATGCTGGGCAGCAGCAGCAAGCCGCTGCTCTCAGCCACAGCATCGGGAGGGTAAAAACTGATTCTTGCCCTTTGTGAAGAACACTATTCCTGCTACACCACCAAGTGTCTATCCCTTAGTGCCTTTAACAAGTACTTCTACTCAAGCCTAATCAGAAAGGAAATTGATAATCCTGTTGCTGTACCATTCCCCATCATGCAGCAATTTTAGTTCAATGCTTCAATCATTATGGCCCAGTGTGCTTTCAGCTATGTACGTCAATAGTAACTATACAATCATTCTATTTTTTGCTTTCAGTTCAGTATTCAATAAGTTAGATGAGATATTCAATACTTTCAAAGAATATAGTCTTTGTATTAGATGATTTTGCTCAACTGTAAGCTAATGTGTCATGAGTACACTTAAGGTAGGCTAGGCTAAGCTATGATGTAGGTTAACGTATATTAAATGCATTTTTGACTTAAATACAGTATTTTCAACTTATTGTGTTTATTATGAGGTAATCCAAAGTTACGAGGCATCTGTGCAGCTACAGTAATTCAAGGCAGTGTGGTATGAGTGTAAGGATGGGCAAACATTTCAATGTAACAGGACAGAAAGTCCAGAAACAGATCCACCATTATGGTTAATTGATTTTTTAACAAACTGCCAAGGTAATTTAATGAGGAAAGGATAATTCTTTCAATAAACAGTGTTACAATGACTGGATATCTGTATGGGGGGAAAAAAGAACCTTGATTTGTAATTCACAACATGTATATCAATTCACAATGGATCACAAATATGAAAACATAAAGTTTATATAATAAAGCAGAATATCTGAAATTTTGGGGTTAAATCGAAGAGAAAAAATACCAAACATAAAAGAAAAAATTTAATTTGACCTTATTGAAATATAAAACTTCTATTCATCAAAAGACATAAAGGCAATAGTCAAGCCACAGACTAGATATTATATTCTCAATACATGTATCTGACAAGACACTTGCTTCTAATATATAAAGAATTCCTATGACCCAACTACAGTTATCAGGGATATACAAATTAAAACTAAAATGAAACATCACTACACACCCATTGGAAAGGTTCAAAAGGAAAAATACTGACACCACCAATTTATTTGTAAAGATAGGAGGTACCAGAACTCTCATACATTCATTATATTCATAAATTGATACATATAAAAATGCTATAGGTACAGCAGTCTTCCTTAGAGAGGGACTGTGGGCATGACAGAGACCAATATTAATCTGTCCCTTATATTCCTAAACTGTAACATAGAGACCATATGTTCCACCAGCTTCACTGGGTAATTATGATACAAGGCCATTAAGAGACTCAAATCACTCCATTTCATATGACCTGTCAATTCTATTTCCAAGGCATCCCATGTTCTGTCTGATGTCACACCACTATTATAATTTAAGTGTTCATAATCCTCTATAATATTTCAATAATCTAACTGATCTCAATGCCTACAGTAGAAATTGCAGACTGGCTCACCCAATTTCTGCTCCCTAGGAAGGCTGAGAAGCTTTAAAAAAAAAACCCTTCATTTCCCTAACTCCCTTGCAGCTAGCATTCCACCTGCAAGCAGCCAGAACTTGCAAGTAAGTTAATTTAGTTCTGGCAAGTAGATGCACTTCCTCAAGATTTAGAAGGTGACAGTGATGTAGAGGCCAGCCTCCTGTCCCTTATGTTGCTTCTGTTTACAAGGAAGTCATGGAAATATGGCTTCCATTCCTCAATGTTCCATTTCTCATTCTCCAGACAACTAAGCAGTTGTAGTGATTCTTGATTAGAGATTTCTTCTTACTGGATCACAGGTATATGAATATATTCTTGAACACAGAAATGAAAATCACTTGTCAATAAAGTTTGAAGAAAGACCCTGTTTCTTACTATCTCCCTCTAAGGTAGAAAAAGAAAACAGCCTCACAATTTCTACTTTACAAATAGGAAAACTAGGACTCTAAAGAAGCTCAAAACAGACCCATACCCAGCTCAGTAAGAAAAGGGGCATGGGTCTTTCCACTCTGGTGAAAACTAAACCCACGTTTGATGAAGTCTCCACATGGTATTCAGTTTCTAGTACTAGAATAATGTGTAGGTGACATCTGCACCACTGAAGCCATTTTGTTTGGATCAC